ATGACTTATATTCTCTCCTATTTATGTTATTATTACCAGTTTCACAATTCTTTTTATTTTTATTTTGGCGTTTTTCAATCTTCCTAATGAATTTTAGAGGATAGTTATTTAACACCAACCCCTCTTCTATCTGTTTTATCTCATCATTTAGGTCTCTTTTTGTGCTACTTAGTGCCATTGCTCGGTTTGTTAAACACTTAACTAAGCCTGCCTTAACAGTTAAAGGATGAGATGAATTAAAATCTAAATATCTATTAGAATGCGTTGGTTTTCTATAAACACTAGTGTGTAGTTTGCCTTCTTCTATTCGTTTTATTTTACAATCTAACATCATAGCTAATTCTCCTTGCTCATTTTCAGTTTCAAATGTGGATTTTATTCCCTCCACTAGTGAGTTTATGTGTGTCAAGAAGCTAGAGATATATTCCGTTTTTCACACCGTGTGTGAAAGTGTCATCCACATATCTCCACCATATTTTTGGAGTAGGATTAAATGTATTAAGAGCACTATGTTGCCAACTGTCCATAAATATATCTGCTACGATAGGGGATATTGGTGATCCCATTGCTACTCATTACTCTCACTCTAATCACTTTAGTCTCTTTCATGATTTCGACTGTCTGCCTTCAAGTAAGTCCTGAAGAATAAGCTACTACTGGGTTCAGAATACTTCGAGAAGTTTATTTAATCGTGATAACAAGTTGTTAGCATCATGGATGACATTTGGTTTTAAATAATCATTGAACAGACAGCCAATTCCAGAGTGGTTATAAAATGGATCTTGTCTGCTTCCCTCCAGTCAGCTTTTCAGACACATCACCACCTTGATATCACCAAACAGTCGAATCAGTTTGAACCAGGCAAGAATGATAAATGTACCAGGATAATATGAGCCCAACTTTTTATTTATTTCGAGGACTCTTCCTAACAGACTGGCACTAACCTGAACAACACAAAAATAAATGTGACATTAAGAATTTGCAGATATTTATTTCTCTATGACAAGGGGTAATTGGTAGGAACTAAGAGTAACACTAAGTCAGCAATAATGCAAGTTATTTAAATAATTAGAAGTGAAAAGGATTGACTATTTGTGCGAAAATTAGGTGACTATGCTTGAAAAGGAACGGATAGATTTCAAGAGATTTTTGTGGATAGAAGCAAAATTTAACTATGAAGAGTGTAAAAAAATAAAGGGTTAATTAACCGCAGAAAATGTTTTACAGGACATCAAAAAATGTAGGGGATTAAGACGAGTCATGTTTAGACGAAAAATGAAGTTTTTTAAACAGGAGAGAAGAATTGCAACTTGTACAATTTGTTATCACCAAGACAGTGAGATTAACCACTGTCTTTCTGTGTACATTGATTTGGCTTTAATCATTTCACGGTGATTGCCTCGGCAAAACACAGCAGGTTAGGTTTCTTTTGCCTGTTGATTATTTTGAACTTCACCAGATTGTCTACAATATGATCACTATCCAATAGGTGGTGTGCAGTCGTACTGTTTAATGTCTGTGAACTCTTTATTCTCAGGTTCCTGGGTATGTATTCAGAAATCCGAACAATAATTCATCTATATGTTCTTCCAGTGTATGTGCTTTAGAAAGTACTTGTAAATTGGTAGGCGCAGCTGGAGACAACATGAGGTGGTAGTCTGTCCGCTTTTGACTGTCTTAAACAACTGGTTATTCGATAAACATGTACCAGCTTGGTAACTGGATAGGTTCTTTTCAGGCCGGCGTTCAAACTGCATTTTATTCTACTGGCAGTATCATCACTTTTGAAGGCAAGTTGTAACTTACCTATTATTTGTTAAACTCCTTCTAGTTAAACTTTGCTTCTGTCCACAAAAATCTCTTGAACTCTTTCCACTCCTTTTCAAGTATAGTCATCTAATTTTCGTTTAAATAGCCAGTCTGTCTCACTCTTCATTATTTTACAACTTTCATCATTCCTGACTAGTGTTAATCTTACTTACTCTTAGAATTATAATTAAAAAATCACATGAATGGATCAACAGTTAAATATTGAGTGGAAGTGTGAAGGCAGTATTATCGACCAACTCAGTCCTCTCCCCCATATCATATTGAGTGATTTAGGAAAAATTCTAACTATTCCTAATTTTAGGCGCCTAGTACTTCAGCTATCAAATCCACAATTTCATGATACTATTATCTTCTTTAGATCCCAAAGGGACATAGGGCTTCAGACGCACGTCTCCATTGCGTTCGGTTCTTCGCCAGCATTTTCCCCTGGCTCCACGTCTGCTCACATGCTTTCATCTCCTCTTCGTACGATCTCCTGGATGTCACCCTCGCACTGACGACCAAATCGCCACTTCCCATTCGGGTTCCAATGGAACAATGGCCTGGCGTGTGATTTCACTTGCATGTTATCTCAGGGTATGGCCAGTTCACTTACATTTCTCGCTGTACATCTGTTTCACAATTGATTCCTGGTTGGTTCGTCTACAGAGATCTCCGTTGGTAATCTTTTCTGGACGGCCACCTGATCTTAAGTAGTATTGAGCGGAAACAGGTGTTAATGAAGGTTTGTAGTTTGTTCGAAGTGCTAATCGTGACGTGGCGCCAAGTCCCTGATTCGTATGTTAGCACCGACTTCACATTGGAGTTGAAAATCCGCATCTTGCTTTTCATGCTGAGTACAGTTCACCTTATCACAGACATGAGACAAATGAAAGCTTGCCTTGCTTTCCCAATCCTTGCTTTGATATCTTCATCAGTTCCGTCCACCTGTGGTTGAAACGATGCTTCCTAGGCGGGTAGGTAAAGGAGGCTGCTTCTTTCAGATTTCTCCCACTTACGCTGATTGTTGTCTGTTGTTGATGCTGTTGGCCAGGAGTCTTCATCACCACATCTGTTTTTTCTATGTTCACCCGAATTCCTTCCTATATTTGATGCTTCTTCTGTCACCAACTTGTTGCTGTTCACTTGCATATCTTCTAGTTTGTGGGAAATCAGACAAATATCATCAGCGAAGTCCAGATCCTCCAAGTATTTTGTGTGGGTCCATTTTATGCCTGTTTCCTCGCTGTACGCTATCTGTCGCTGATAACTGAATTCAAAATGATCATCATTAAACGACTGCAATTAGCAGATTCTCAATTACTAAAATGGTGCTCTTTGGAATTAACTTTACAGCAAGGAATTGAAAAAAAGTGGAAATTGTTTGCTTTTGCAAGTTTATCATCAAAACAGCTATAAAATAGCCATGACAAGTGAAATGATCTTCGAGAGGAATGGGAACCTTAACAGTTCTCAGAAGACACATCTGAGACACTGATGCGAACACCCCTTTAGAAACAGATAAACTTATCCATACCTATTACACTATTGTTTACCATCCAGCCAAGCACTGTTATGGTATGCAGACACGAACGGTTCACGTGAACGAATTCAATCAGAATAACCTGGTATCATGACTTTATAAGCGGTTGAAGATGCTTATTTAAGATCAGTAACTAGATGGGTTAATGTAGCTGCTTGTCTGTGAGAATCCGAGATAGTTCCATCAAACTGGTGTAGATTATCGATCATCCCATTCTGTGACAATATGTGTGGTAACAGCAGCATAATCCGCTTGACTGGCGAAGCATCCTGAGATCCTTAGTTTAACAAATACTAACCATGAAATAAAAACTACAAAATCAGGAAACCCAGGCGGTTATCTGATCGGGATGAGACTTCATCGATCCAGTTGTTTTTCACTTCGACAAATTTCGGAGAATAACAAAACTGTCAGGTGTCCAACGCTTGACCAACAGGTGCTGTGACAATGTTCGACTATGAATTGAGTGAGAAAAGTGTTTGCTATGTTAACCAAAAAAAGCTACTAGCAATAGTCAGGCAGTTGTGTAAGGCGTTGTGGAGAGTCGTCAACCAATGTAAAGTAATCTAATGGATGGTGGATGTGAAATTCCATAAAAAAAGAAATTCACACGAACAGAGTTGTAGATTATGTCCAACTTTACCAATAAACGGATGTCTACATCAAACCCCAACGAATTTCCGCATTGTACCTCTTTGTAGAGTGTCATTTTGATATCACTTTGCAAGCTAAACATGCCTCATATTATGTCCCAATTTGATATCTCAATATGAGAGTGGCTTCTTCACCAGTTTGCAGTTTCGTCGTAATTTTGTCTTATGCATTGACCGACAGATATTTGGAAGGTGAAAATATTGTGGTTAGATGGATGGAATTAGATTGTAAAGGAATGCTCAACAATAATTTATATTTTCCTATGCATTATTCCCCTCTGTCAACCCGCTAGTCTCTTATCTTACATTGAGAAACCATCAGACACCTACCTTTCTTCCACGCATTTTCTGACAGTGAAAAAGAAAAGAGAAGACCAAGAGAAAACCAGAAATGATGTGCTTGTATTTCACTAAAAAACGCTTATTTCATCAGAACGGTAAAATAAGATGTGCTGAACACCTCTCGAGTAAAGACAATCATCAATCAGTTCTGTAGGTGTAATAAAACATCAAGAAGTAGACGGTGTAATGGCAGAAGCGAGAAGATGAATTCAAAATTGTCGCCTTGTAAAACAACATCCCTGTCAATTTCTAGTCACTAACTGGTTCATTAAAACAAAATGACGATAGTGACTGAGAAGGAAGGGAATGTACAGAAATAAGGGTAAAAAGCATCAGAACTAGGATGAAATATAAAAATGGAATTGCTATTATTAGTTAGCTAGTTAGTTATTTAATGACTAAAATCATAAACTTCTCTTGTGTCCTGCTAAAACAAAAGAGCGTTAAAAATATTCAACATTCGTGGTACTAAAAATGTTGGCTCATTTAATATAAAAATGAACGAAGAAAGTAAAAGGGTTCGAACAGAGAGTATGAGGGGAAGACAGTAATGTTTCTTTTTGTGATAAACGGAGAAAGTACTGGACAATTCATCAATGTCTTTACTTCTTGTTCATTGACGAAGTATTGGAGGTGTTGACCATGACTGGTGGTTATTGATGATCAACATTCGTCCTGAATCCACGTCGTAATGGTATATGCATGTAGGAATTATCAAATGATTTATGTCGTACATACCAACAAGCTGGACAGAAATATTTGAAACATTCTAATGCTCTGCAAAAATATATACCGGGAAATGTGGTACAACTGCTACAAACCGTATCTTCTAGATAGGGATCTATTTGAATTGTTTTGATGAATTTCGGCGTTCGAATATTGACAAAATTAGCAATGATAGCCTTTGTATAACTTTTATTACTCGAGAAAACCACTCTAGCAGAACCTGAAAGATAGAGAAAAATGCGCGAGAAAACAAAAACGATGCGTATACATCCACCTGTGAGAGTGACATTGGTTTGTCAGTTTGTCAAAGTGAATAGAAGAGAATCTATTATGTATCACAAAGAAAGGTGATGCCAGCTTACTGCCATAACAAATTTCGTTATTATTACCTTCAGTAAATTAGAAGAAAATCTTTTAGACTATTAGGAATTCCTCTGCACAGCAAGTAGTGTTATGCACCACCACCGAAATATACGCTGAAAATGTGACAGAAATTTATTCACATGTCTGCAATCCAAATTTTATCTGAAGTCTAATGATTCAACTCAGTTGATCAGGTCAAACATACTTGCGATCAGTCGGAACCAGGAGTCCATTGCTTCAATCTTCAGGTTTCAGTCTAATGAGCTAAATATTAACCACACTAAATTGTCTCATGCTCCAGCATTTACGATTATTTTTATCCCTACATATTACATATCTTCCGGTTTTGATGAAAGCAGTAATATACAACTGACTGTGGACTGTTGGGTCAATAGAGGTATAATATGTTGACAAAGTGAATCATCTAGATAGTTCGTTAATCATGTTAATCGACGTCAAACATAATGGTGCAATATGACTGTTATATTCCACTGCACAGACTTACCAGTAGGATATTTGTACCGATCTGTATCCAAAGCTGCGTAAACAACATTTCCAAATATATCATCCATAATTTTCACGAGTGCTTCTGCAGTAATCAATGCATGCAGCGCTCCAACAAATACAGAACGTTTCATATCCTCTGGCTTAGGAGTTGACTTTGAGAAGTGACCATCACTTAAAACCCATGGAATCACCTAGAATACAAGAAAATCCAGAATGTGACACTGATTACCAATTTGGGACTATATATTTTTAAATTTCATGAGAGTAATTACAGTTAACATGCATCAACTCCCTTAATATTAAACGATCGTAATATTAACTGAAAATGCCAGATTCCAGGATAAGCTGAGTGTGGACATCATGATGAAGGAAAAGTATTTGCAGGTGGTTAATGTTGACAAATGATCAGATCACTTTAATAAGCCATTGGTTATCTGCTCTACTCTGCATGATTTTAATTCGGCACAGGCCTATTCGCCTATTTGTTCTTCGCTTCCCACTGACTAAAATTATGCAGTTAGATATTATTCACTTGTAGTAATTCTGCGCTGAAATTCCTCTGAGTATCTGGAGGGGATCTGTAGCTCAGGTGGATGACCATGATTGTAGTTCTGGTCTCTAAGCTGGTTGATTTAATTGCGAAGCATCCGTTTTCCATCTAGAAAACCGCTTATCCACAGGTTTCAGTATGAAGAAAGTAGATGAATGTCTGATATTGTATATATTCACAACATCCATAGAACACAGAAGTGACCTACTTGACTTTCTTAGCTTATTCAAGAGGATATGAGGATATGCATAGGAGCAATTTGTGTGAAGTAAAATTCACTTTGCACATTGTTGAAAGGGAAAAAGCATTCACTCAACAGATTGTAAGTCGATGTTTTATTATTTTCCTTTAAAAACTCCGATATTTCTAAAAAAAGTCACATTTTGCAAAGAGTACTTTGAAAGACAACACAATAGCCGCTGGTCTTCAGTCTGAATGACAGCAAGACAATGAGTAGTACTACATTTGTCTGAAATATGTATGAAGTAAGAGACATTTGCTTGTGGATTGGCATTCCTGTCCACTGTCAAATATACATCACAGAATCTTTTTCATTTTCGCGATATTATTATTGCTCCCTTGGGTTCCTAGTGGAACATAGGGCTTCAGTTGCACGTCTCCACTTGTTTCTGTCTTCTGCTGTACTTTTCACCTGCATCCATGTTAGTCCAGACTGTTTCAATTCCTCTTCACACGGTCTCCTCCATGTCACCATTGGACATCCCACTCGCCACTTCCTGTTCGGGTTCCACTCGATGCTCAGTAATGTGTATTTCGATCTGTATAGCCGTTCGCCCTATATAGCTTTCCCCGGTGGGACAGCTACATTTGTAAATAGGCATAAAAGCTGCGCAGCTAGGCAGCTTATCTTTCACTTGAGCACTCATAATTGGTCGTCTAGACAAAATGACAAACAAAGCTTGGCAGTAGTATAAGTCGGTCCAATTCACCTTTAGAAGTACGTCACTAGCTGTCTGTGATCATAGGTGCCTGCGTTCTGTCTCACATGCTAAGTGGTATATTACGATGTGCAATATTGAGGTTAGGCGTCGGTCGAGTGTCAGGTGAGTTGGAAGGGAAATCAATCGACGAGGTTGTAAAGTTACTTCGATTGAGATGGTTGTGACATGTATTACATACGCCTAGCCATCACCTTCCTTGACGGACAATATTAACTGCTACAGGATCGATGAGGTTGATAAAGAGCTAGCACGAGGTGGTCAAACCAAAATATGGCATCAATCAATGAAATCCGCGACAGTTAGTTTAAGCCAGGCACGTAGGAAGGTGTAGACTTCTTGGTTAGGGTCCTCGGGACAGTAAAAACCAATGTCTGGAGACAATTGGTGATATAGCTCAAAATCATTTTTGATGGCGCAGATGCATCCACTCCTTGTGACTTGTAATTTTCAATGAAACTATTTTGTTCTTCGTTATTACTATTCCGTGTATTCCTTTTGTCTCATATCCCTGTCTGCTGTCTCTATTTTGCATTTCTTCCACTTTCTTCTCTTGCTTTGTGTGCTACATGGAGTGTGGCGACTTGAACTGCTGCACATCGGTGCAAAGTTTTATGCTGAAAACAGACGGACAGGCATAACTTTTAAGATTTGACCTATTTTATTTATTTATTGAATTGTCTACATATACACTACCTTCTTTATTCCTATCGCCATCTGCATAAACCTTATCATCATTAGTTTTGTATTCATGATAATCATCGTTATTACTGACATTGTAAATATTTATGCTGACAACAATCAGCATAAATGGAAGGAACCTGAAAGAAACAACCTCTTTTACCTACCTGAGAGGCATCGTTTCAACTACAGGCCAACGGAACTGACGAGGATATCAAAGCAAGAATCGGAAAAGCAAGACAAGCTTTCACTACTCTCAAGTCTGTGTGGAGGTCAACAACACTCAGCATCAAAAATAAGATCCGGATCTTCAACTCCAATGTGAAGTCACTGCTACTCACTATACGGATCAGAGACTTGGCACAGCGACATAAAGAGCATCTCAAACAAATTACAGACCTTCATTAACAGTTGTCTTTGCTCAATACTCAAGATGAGATGGCCTGTCAGAAAAGATCAGCAACAGGGATCTCTGGAAATGAGCGAACCAACCAGGAACCGATTGTGAAACAAATATGCAGGAAGAAATGGAGATGGATTGGCTGGCCATCCTCTGAGGAAACCATCAAGTGACATCACTAGACTAGCCATTGCTCGAGTGGAAATCGAAAGGGAAGCGGCGAGTTGGTCGTTAGTGTGAGTGTGACATGGAGGAGGTCATGTGAAGAGGAGATGAAAACGTGTGGGCAGACATGGAGCCAGTTGAAGACTGTAGCAGAGAACAGAACGCAATGGAGACGCACGGCTGAAGCCGTATGTTCCTGTAGGAATTGAATAATAATTGTGGTAATAATCTGGAGACAGTATTGTTCGCTTATATGTCCTGTTCTTATAATATTATTACTGGGGATATTTAACCATTTATGATATGTCAGTCATACAGTAAAAATAATTCAGACGTTTCAATCTATCTGGCAAATTTGAAATGGAAACTAAACACACACACACACTATACTACTGATCGGTTGTGGTAAGTAGCTGAATACCAACCACACATCAACCAGTAGTGATCGCCAGTCAGATCAAGGCGATCTAAACACCGGACAGCCGTTTCTCTGGTTTGAGATAGATAGAGCTCATTTACCGGTGTATTGAGCTTGACTCATCTCACACATTCATTGTCACTGCATATATCGATGAATAAATTATGTTTAATAATAATAATAATAATTTGCTTTAGTCCAAAAACAGTATTAACGATACAGCAAGGAATTTTCAGCATTCAGTACAATATTGCATCTAATTTACTCAAAAACGACAACAACAAAAAATAAATAAACGAAATAATCATTACATAATAATGTTAACAAAACGTTTTTATAGCAGCTATATAGCAATTACAGTATACGATAAGGAGAAAAATACGCATAAAGTATAAAATTATAGTAATAATAGTAATAACAACTAAAATAAAAATAGCAAAGTTATAATTAAACGATGGAAAGGGTGACACCATAAAATTACAGAAAGATGAACAATGAAAGGGTCGATTCACTTTGCTAATTACATGGTAACTTATATGTTTCACGTCTAACAGAGTCTTCACCACATAAAATACGGGCTAAATACGGTATTGTAGAATTTTTGTACTTAGTGGTTCGAGCATATAACTTTTTATATTGACTTCTCGTCCTACCTGATGAGATACAAGGGGATAGTTGTGAATAAAAGGGGTGCAGAGGGTTTGACAGTACGGCCTTTGCCCACTTTGTACAGGAATTTATGTGTCTCTCAACTATAGTACTGGCTAGCTTACGCAGTGGCAAACCACAAGCCCTACTCACAGCATTTAATAACCTTCGTAATATGACATAGTCTTTTTTAAGAAGCCCAGGAAAGATTAATGGAGAACAATAGAGTACAATAGGTAAAATACAGGAGTTTAAAAATTGCAAAACTAAAGGTTGGTTGACACCTGATTGTCTCACCTTTTTAATGTAGAAGGTAAGACGAAACATTTTCTAAGAGATTGATAAGATGTGGGATGACAATGAAAGGTCAGAGGAAAGAACTAATCCAAGGTATTTAATGCTTGACTTGGTTTCAATTTCGGTGCCATCTAAGCTACTCGAAATTATCTGCTCTACTCTCCATGATTTTAATTCGGCACAGGCCTATTCGCCTGTTTATTCTACGCTTCCCACTGACTAAAATTATGCAGTTAGATATTATTCACTTGTAGTAATTCTGCGCTGAAATTCCTCTGAGTATCTGGAGGGGATCTGTAGCTCAGGTGGATGACCATGATTGTAGTTCTGGTCTCTAAGCTGGTTGATTTAATTGCGAAGCATCCGTTTTCCATCTAGAAAACCGCTTATCCACAGGTTTCACTATGAAGAAAGCAGATGAATGTCTTATATTGTATATATTCACAACATCCATAGAACACAGAAGTGACCTACTTGACTTTCTTAGCTTATTCAAGAGGATATGAGGATATGCATAGGAGCAATTTGTGTGAAGTAAAATTCACTTTGCATATTGTTGAAAGGAGAAAAACATTCACTCAACAGATTGTAAGTCGATATTTTATTATTTTTCTTTATAACACTCCTATAATTGCAAAGAGTTCTTTGAAAGACAATACAGTAGCCACTGGTCTTCAATCTGAATGAGAGAACGACAATGAGTAATGCTACACTTGTCTGAAATATGCATGAAGTAAGAGACATGTGCTTTTGGAGTTGCATTCCTGTCCACTGTCAAATATACATCACAGAATCTTTTTCATTTTCGCGATATTATTATTGTTCCCTTGGGTTCCTAGTGGAACATAGGGCTTCAATTGCACGTCTCCACTTGTTTCTGCCTTCTGCTGTAGTTTTCACCTGCTTCCATGTTAGTCAACACTGTTTCAACTGCTCTTCACACGATCTCCTCCATGTCACCCTTGCACTGACGTCCCAATCGACGCTTCCCTTTCGGTTTCCACTCGAGCTATGGCCTGACGCGCGATGTCACCCAACGGCCTTCTCAGCGAGTGTCCTATCCATCTCCACTTTCTCCTGCATATTTGCTACACGATTGGTTCTTGTTTTGTTTCTTCCCATAGTTTCTTGTTGGTTCTTGTTCTTTCCGGCCATCTGATCTTCAGTGTAGAACGAAGACATTTGTTGATAAAGGTCTGCAACAGGCTGTTGGAAATATTCTTTGTGACCCGCCAATTTTCAGATCCGTTCGTATAGAAGAACTGACTGACTTGACGTTTGTATTGAAAATCCAAATCATTTTGTTGTTGATGCTGAGGAGTGACGAAGATTTCCAGATTGGTTTCAGGTTGATGAATGTGTTTCTCGCCTTCCTGATTCTCGATTTGACACCCTCGTTCGTTCCTCCAGTAGTTGAGACAATGCTCCCTAGATAAGTGAATGAAGTAACCTCTTTCAAATCCTTCCCGTTGATGGTGATTGGCGCTGGATGTTGCTGCTGCTGTTGTTGTTGGTTGGTTATTTTCATAACCTCCGTCTTGTCTATGTTCACCTGGAGTCCTGTCTTTGCTGCTTCTTCGACCAGTTTGTCGGTTTTCGCTTGTAAGTTTTCGATTTTGTGTGACATCAAACATAAATCATCTGCGAAATCCAGGTCTTCTAGGTTCTTCACATCGGTCCAGGATATCCTTGTCTTCTCGTTCCCCACTGTCTGGCGCATAATCCAGTCCACCACAATTAAGAATATCATTGGTGATAATAAGCACCCTTGTCTGACTCCTGTATTTACTCCAAACGCTTCGCTGAGTTTTCCGTTGTGGATCACTTGACATGTGCCGTTGTCGTACAGCTGTTGAATAAGGTTGATGAATATTTGAGGTACGCCTTAGTACTTGAGAAGTTTCCAAATTACTTCGCAGTCAACGCTGTCCAATGCTTTCTCAAAGTCTATAAAGTTGAGGTAGAGATTTGATTGCCATTCCATGCTTTCTTCGATGATGATATTATGCAGAACGCACTAATTTGTTCAAGTAATTCAATTCAACATTTTGAATAAACTTGTTGTGATGAAGTGGAATAAATCGCACTCCAGTCTCTGTTGTCTTCTCCTGATCGATATATGAGTTAGAGAGGTGGCTAAATACCTCCCCCGATCTGACTGTTCCAGAATTAATAGCTTGTTTTTGGACATCATATATTAAGTCCCTCCAAATGTCAGACAGTTAGATTCATCTTTGGGCATAAAAGTGATCCACACTAACTGGTCTGTTCACAAGATGTATGTAGGGGTGTGTAGTGTACGTTGTGGGTAAGAAGAATTTACTATTTTTCTGACGATATGGTTTGACTGTATTTCAGCTAACTCGTGCGAGGCACGAACTGCTCCGTAGACAGACTTGAGAAGAGTTAAATTTATTTTGTAGGTGCTTCTTCTGGTAACCTAATGACTTGACGATATGCATATTTGCATATCACGAATAACCCACTTCGAAGGAATTTCAGTAGATTCATCAACAGTGTGTATCATAAGCTCGATAGAACCCACAAACATTCCAATATTCATGGGATGATTTCATCTTCTAAATTTCAGTCTTTTCCACTATCTTGAAGTAACAGCTAAGAGGAATTATTCAACAGCATACTCTTCACCAAACATATGACATTCACCGTAAAATATGTACCTACCTGCACATCTTTGGATACGAACTTAGGACTTGACATTTTGTAATAATTTCCACCTTTGTCAGGATTTTCGAAACAGTTTGCCAGCAGTTTAGAAACAGAAGTCTCCTCTTCGAATATTAGATAACAGTAGCCTAAAATAGGAAGATTTTACAGCGTCAGTCAGATGAAACAAAACAGGTGGAAATTGGCCTTCTTACTATTTATTCATAAAATCACCTACCTCTGCTTGGATATCTCTTGTTATCTATAGGGCTCGAATGACTTCCATCCTTTGGTGGCCAGAAGACAGTAGCTTTGCCAAATTGAGAAAAAGCCTTCACTATTCTATCGCTTGTACTATCCCACGGCAATCCACCAAGAAATACTTTCCGAGAAAAAGGTCCAGATTTATTATTGCTAAGCGGTAGTCTCCCCGACCATTGGTAGATGGTTTCACCTTTGGCTGCTAGGGTACCTGAAATGTGAAACATAATGCTCACCAGTTTCCTGTATCAGATAAAAACGTGGATGGTTGACTGACGAGTAGTTTAATCAGCAGCCAGGTGCATAATTATGCACGTTTCATGAAATCTCAAGTTGAAGTGAGAAGAACAGTGCTTCACTCGTGAATGAAAGCCTAATCTAAAGAACCGTAGCCAAATTAGCTAACTAGATAAATAGTTTCCCATTAAATCAACTAGCATATTATTATTAATTTGCACAAGGAGCCCACATGTCAACCTGAACCACAGCATTTCGATCCAATCAGTCGATGGAAACCCTAACTGAACTAAATATAATTGAGTAGTTCGTCCAGCAAATGTTTTTTCTCACTTAAATCTTTCTTCACTGGACTTCAAACCTTTAAATCTTTGAGATACAATATGCAGAGGTAAACATGTTGAGGAACCGGTGTCAAGGTCATTGTAGATAGACACTTGTTAGAACAGCATCACTTTCTGGAAGCTGGTTATTCCCTATTTTCAGACATGCTGTTACTCATAAAATATGCAGACAAAGTGATAACGTCAATTGATAACAAGATTACTGGTAAAACTTGCCTGCTGAATTCCTATAGACATTAGCAACTTTGTCTACATCATTTGTGAATGAATTCAGACGTTGTTGATAAGGTATGACCACTTGAGACAGTTTTTCAGCAAGACTTCTGTTTAACATTGTGTGCTGATCGTTCTGGCAGGATGAAGAGAGAGAGGAAATATTCCCTTGATAACCAGATAGGGATGAACTGGCCAAACTTGTTATGCGCCCCATTGCATAATATTCGTGAGACATTTGTGGAAGATTAGTACCAACATTACTATTATTATTGTTATTATTACATAAAGAATTCGACTGAATGCTGGCCCTCTGATTTACCAAAAGATTGAGGATTACATCAGTCTGTTCTTGTAGTACTGTAGTATTCATTTGACCATCTGAAGTGTTAATTGGTGATTGAGGCGTCTTCAACAAGTTCACAAGAAATGGAGTATAATTCGAAGTTGTTTTGGAGAACAAATTCGTCGTTAAATGATTAGAGATCAGCTGTGTGGATGGATTAACCAAATGATTGTAGTCAGCTGATGATGGAGGATTTTGTGGTGCACTGATCCTTCCGTTGAGTAAAGCACCTACTGAATTCTCATTACTACTGCTGGTGAGATGCACATCAACTGAATGCATATCCTGAAAGTTCTTTTGCGTTGATACATGTGATGTATTGTGGAGAATATTTCGGCGGTTGAGACATCCCTCACGTGATGTCAAGTCATTCTTGGTAACTTGACAATTCTGTTTTGGTAACTGATATGTTGTGAAAGGAGATGGTGTATCGTACTGATCAGATTCAGTTAAAGATCTTTGATTACTTCTTTCATTACTTGAATCAGCAGTCATCAAGAAACTGTTTAATAGATCCTCACTGATAGTGGAATTTGTCGAAAGGCTGAGAAGGAAGTCTTGGGTTAGCGAATCAGTGAGATCTGAATGTAAGAAGAGCACATAGCTTACTTATTAATCTCATGAAATCATCAACAAAATGAACAGACACATCACGAATAATGTAAAAACAAGAGTTTTGTAATTCAGTCACTTATCATTCGAAACTGTATGTACGGTAATCACCATTATGAATATCTATATAAGAATTTTTTTCTTTTATTCCTTCACGTTCCCAGTGGAAATAGTGCTTCAAGTTAGAGTTTCTGTAGCAGTGTTTATTTTTATAGGACCGGTTGCCAGCCTCATGTCCAAGCTTTCCTTTTCACCAGCTTTTTAGTTCTGGCTTAGCGAGGTAAAGGAGTGCGCCGGCCGGGGATCGAACCCCAGACCATGTGCATGGTCGGCGAGTGTCCTAACCGCTATGCCACCGACGCCTACATAAGAATTACAACAAGATAAATGGTTGTCCATATTACTCATTCAGATTTATTCGTACTTGTATTTCCGTCAAATATGATGTAGCCCAGTGAACATATTCATCCAAGGTTGTTAACCCCACTAAATGTATGCACATGAGGTTTGGTTCCCAGTTGAAACACTCCTAGACGAAAGTAACACCTGGAAGGAGGGAAGGTTGGGAGTGAGGCTTGAAATCACACCCTGTAAAAACACCAGAATCGCTGCTGAATCTTCAAATCTCAAAGCTTGAAGTATTGTGTTCCTCTAGGAACGCAAGCAGTGCCAGAAAAATGACCACCTAATGAGACTTAGTATAGTGAGGTGGGATGCATTATATCCCCAAATACATAACTGAAAAATGAGTACTTAAATTGGTCAGCCTTAATTTTATGTCCGTATCTTCAAGCTGTGATGACAAAGAGCACAAAAATCTACTTTCCATCACTTGCATACGTTCCAAATTATACGCTGAAAAGTGTAGTAAACAGCAAACAACAAGGAACCGTTAATGTATTTACTGAAATTAGAAAAATCAATCCCTCTCATATCTTTACCAACTAACCGATAATGTTATAAATAAGTGGCAACCAACCTTAAATTACCTTTTCCAATCTCAGTATTGTTCCTCGTTGACAATAACCAAACTGCACTTTGATACAATTGTTGTAGCTGTTGTAGTTTTTGAGGCTGACAGTCGTCTTGGTTATGAACAGGATGTGGTAGTGATGTGCGTATCGACTGAGATGGTGGTTGTTGCTGTTGTTGTTGATATTGTGGCTTGTTTGCTGTTGTAACTTTATGGGTTGACGGTGCATTTCTAATACGATTATCTGCAGTTGTTGTTGATGTCGATTTTCTTGACTCACCACAGCCTGTCAACTGTTTCACATACTGTGCTATAAATGTTAGATTATCGTCCAGTGTCTGAAAATCCTCACTGGCAATCTTATGTGTCTGCTCAACCATTGAATCGTAATCGAACTCGTCATCAGAGGCGTAATGAAGTGTTGACCTTCCTGAGCTCGAAGGTGAAGCTGTTACAGCTACACTAAAGTCCTTTGCTTGAGCTCCAAGAGGTCGATACTCTGATTTGACAACTGGATCCTCCAGATTATTACTATTACTGTTACTGCTATTACCTGAACCATTTATAAATTCATCACTCTTCTCTATACTCATGTCACTGGTATCTTCCTCCAGTTTTACTTGACCTTGTCCAGGCCAAAGTAAATTAGCTTCACACTTGTTTGCATTCTCAAAATAACTTGAATTACCCTGGTCAGACAACATGTGGCCGATTCCACTGGATTCCTGAGTACACTGACGATCATTCAAACTAAAGAAGCGTTCATTGGTCAAATTCAGATTGATTCGTTTCTCTTCGGCTTGTTGATGCTTCAGTGTTTGAGTACCAGCAAGACATGGTCTTCCAGTAGTTAATGCCGGAGGACTTCTGGTTAATGCTGTCCCCAGATGAAGGGCATCCCCATCGTGGGACATCTGAGAATGGTTCGATTTATAGTCTGTTCGATGTGCCACACCGACATTTTTCTCGTCTACATGTAAAGACAATAGAGGACATTGTTAGTACATTCAACACCACAAAATAACTACCTGAAATCAAGGAGAGTCAAACGAGGTGACTAATTAAATGCCTTGACTCTCAGTAATAATGGACGATAACTGATTGGCAGCACTAGGAATGTTTCGTCTTCTCTGTTCTCTATTCAGGTTTCATTATGAGCGGTAATGCGAATAAAGCTGAAAACAGCTAACAATTCTCCGTTGAGAATTGGACTGGGTCCGAAGTTTACAGGTCACCCTTACCATTTAATATCCAGTTCCCTTGTTCATCGGGTATTTTACTAACTGGCATAACCGTTACATTAAGGTATACTTTACTCATCGCCTCACACATCACCAGTCTGTCTCCATCAAATAAGAGATCTACCCTGTCTATCACCTATCTGCAATCATATTGCCGACATTTCCTAGACTATCAGGCTTCTTTCTAACAAAGTCCATCATATCATAACAGGTACAACAGTTTCTAACGGTGATCTACATTTCTGTCCATAGAGGGTTAGCTAATACAATCAGTTGCATCTCATAGTCCATTGTGGAAACTGGATTTGACACACTGTCTGTATGAACTCAGTTGTAAAAGCGATAAAGCGTGGACGTAGTGAGAAATGGTTGTCTGATGTCATCCTTGATGTTTTCTAGCGACCTGACAAATCGTAAATAGAATCTGTTGAGCTCATGTGGAAATCTAAGTTACATGGATCGCTGCAACACTAAAGCCAATAACGTTGGGACAAAAGAATTCAAAAATCCCAAGTACAGTTTAACAAACTATCCAGCCTTATTGGTCTTCTCTTCAAATTTGCATAGAACTTATCATGTAGGATGCAAAAGGTGTCAGTGGATCTCTCAGGCGAGATCTTTTGTCGCTGCTTATGAAAAATAACAGAGGTTCCTAGTAAATTTACAGAAAAGCCTATCTGATGTCTTCATGAAGGCTTAGGTGAGAAGATTTCTGAATAGCATAACCACAGCTTGACATTATTCAGTAGTGGTTGGTGGACTATTTGGTATAATCATGTTATGGCATCAGTGCATGTCTCGCATTATCGACGTCTTTAGATCAGTCATAGAATGAACAAGAGATATCGCATAATTTTACAACCTGAATCTAAGGAAGACCACATTTTAGACAAGATTCACCTATCTACATTTCATTGACTACCTGTAGAATATCAAAACGCATCAAAAATTGTTTTTCTCCATCTAAGGAAGTTAACTAGTTCGAGTAATTCGATATCAACTATCGAAATCTGTATGTTAACCTCACTCGGTGCACAAAAGTTACCACACAGTGAGTGTGTCTTATTCCATCACTTGACGCATTAACTGCCATCTGCCTTTTTGAGTAATTTACAGGGATTAGGTTGAACTGCTGACAACAAATGACAAGTAACTATTCTTGCCGAAAGTGATTAGAGGGAAAAGAACAAGCAGTTTAGCAAAGATGACGATCAGTTCGGCGATTTCATTCTCAAAAGCAGCTGTACAATCGCATTTATATAGATTAGTTAACGTGGATACAATTATTATTTATTTAATTCCACATTTCCGGCAGTTACACTAAGAGTGATATTCTCTCCCCAACCCACTACTTCGGAACAAGGGGAAGGACAGACTTCTGCATATAACCAATTCAATGTGCATGTATCAGTTCACCTGCTCTTGCAGAGCTAGGTTCATAGGTCGTTCTATGCGGGTCTTATCAAACGTGTTAGGGAACATCATTCAGCGTGACTTCCAAGAGGAGGCACTGGTTCAATCAGAAGCGTCATAACTGAACACCTCGTCAATACCTGACACAGAATCCCAACTGACGCATCATTCGGAGTGATTTACAAAGTGAGCGAAAATCTATATAAGGGAGAGTGTTTCTGACTTCTTTGTACTGCGGAAGCCCTCACCATATGCATCGAAGAGCCGGAGCTGTGTTTGAAAGAAACTAGTCCAGTCTTTACAACTACAGTGGACCTAGTTCGGTATTTTCTCTTATCCTTCAGTTTTTTTTGTTTTGTTCTCTGTGTGTGTAATTTTCTCTCTTTCCCTTCATTCAATTAATCCCATTTTTTCCAGTCACAAAATCAGTTATTTTAAATTTGTTTCCATGCTCCTCCTGATCACACTTGTAATCCTTTTAGAATAACCATTTTACAATCATTTTCTAATCATGTGTAATTTTATTTGCTTTTTTCCCTTATTTAATCTATACTCACACCTTCTAACTTATATTTCAAGTTGAAAATTTTGATTTCGATTTGTTTCCAAGCTCATTTTGTTCATACCTGTAATTCGTTCTATCCCTGCGTAACTTTTGTTTCTAATCCTGTTGTAATTCATATCAAGTTGCAAATAATTATCACCTTTTATTCGCCTTTAAAAAATTGTTTCTCCAGTTATCAAATATTAAATTTGCATACGTTTTAACCGTTTTCTAATCCTATGCAATCTTGTCCCGAAGCCCCTTGTAATCTATATTCGTAACTTCAAACTTTCATATCATATCGCCTTCGTTACTATGTGGAATCCATAAAAACTTATCTATATAAATGCGATTGTACAGCTGCTTTTGAGAATGAAATCGCCAAAAAGATCGCCATCTTTGCTGAACTGCTTGTTCTTTTCCCTCTAATGTCCCGATGGGTATTTTCCACTTTTTGAAAGCGATTGCATGAATAATGTTTATGCGCGTGTGTGCATAGCCTCTACAATCTATGCAATAATAATAATAATTTGCTTTATTCCAGAAACAGTTCTAGTGGTACAGTGTGGAAGTTTCATCACATATCTACAATATTTGCATCTAATTTTATCAAACATTTAAAAGGAGTATTTCAAAAAATAAATATAAAGACACCAACAACAACAAAAAACACAAAAATAATTTTTAAAAATGCGAAAAAAATACCAAGAAGTAGAAAGGAAAATAAACAACATAATAAATAATATCTCAGTATTGGGTAGTGGAAGCTATGATATGATTATGCATGGTGACAGTAAAGCTATAGTCATACAAGAAGTTATGAAATGATATTTAAGAATATTTATCGCCGAAGTGATCAGTTAATTTGGTTGAAACAACTCTAAACAACCATAAAATAACATTTCAGGGTTGTTGTTTTGTTTTTTATTGTAGTGGTAGTGTGAGTAATCCTGCATAATACAAAATTTTAAGATGGTGTTAATGGCGTTCACTACCAAGATTGTCAGTTAATATTGCCGAACAAAAAACAACAACCACAAGATCTAATAATTACATGATGGTTAATGACAGGACAATTTTGTAATACTCAGTAGATACACAAAAGAAGGAATAAAGTACAAAAAAGGGAAGCCAATGTTAATAATTTAGGTAGCTAAGTATATTTAAGAAGGAGTTCACTATAAAATGCAAAATAAGAGAGAAATAAAAACAGCCTAAAATTATGTTGTTAACAACAAAGCAAGTCATAGGTTTCACGCTTAACATTGTCTCTGTCACTTAGAACACGGGCCAAGTATGGTATCGTTGAGTTCCTGTAATTGGTTGTACGAGCATAAATTATTTTATACTGATATCTGGTTCTACTTGATGAGATACAAGGCGAGAGTTGGGAGTAGAGAGGGTGTTGGGGGTTGGAGAGTATGGTTTTTGACCACTTTTCACATGTATTCAGATGCCTTTCAACTAATGTAGTGACGAGCTGACTGAGTTTTACACCACTAGTCCTTCTAACTACCTTCAACATCCTTCTCAGGATAGTATAGTCCTTTTTCAGTAGCCCAGAAAAGACTAACGGGGAGCAGTAAAGTAGGATAGGTAAGATACAAGAGTTGACAAATTGTAAAATTAGAGGTTGGTTGATTCCAGATTGTCTAAGTTTCTTAATGCAGTAGGTTAGACAGAACACTTTCTTAGAAATCGTTAGGATATGAGATGTCCAAGTAAGGTTGGAAGATAGAACTAGACCGAGGTATTTAGCATTAGACTTAGTTTCAATTTTAGTCCCCTCAATGCAACAGTCATCATGAGAACTTACTAGTGTTTGTAGATCTCGTTTATGCCTAAAGGAGAAGTCAATAGTCTGACATTTTGAGGGATTCAACATGAGGCCATTTAGTTTAGACCACTGACTGATGACAGACTGACATACAGAGCAGGGTACTGTCATAAACTTATCATTAAATAATACAAGTAAAAGTCACTCAAAAGCAAATAAAAGTCAATAATTAAAACAAACAAATTTAACAATCTTACACAAAATCTGTTTAGAGCTAACTATCACACACTTACTTTTACTGTTATTTGTTGACCATGAGGTAAGTGAGTCCATTTGGCTTGTTTTTCGTCACCTTCACTTTTTCAAATGTTGAATGTGGTAAGATAGTGTGAGTTTTTAAAAATTAATTGAAATAAAAACCAAACTGTGTGTGTATTCTGTCTGATTTGTAAAAATTTCAATTTTTGTAAAATCTCAGTGAAATCAAAGTGTATAATTCCAACGTTTAGTTAAGCAAACTGGTCTGAACTTCTTCAGAGAAAAAATAATTGAAATTAAAATAACAGAAGTTTATATGATGTTGCTTAAAAATGTTAAAAGTCAACACTGATCACGAATCATACATTCCCCAGACTGAATACAAATTAAAACTGAATTGAAAAGTTGAATCTGATTACTAATCAACTAAAATAATCATGTTATTGATATAAGTATAGAACTTGGGCAGTGTGGTAGAGTATAATCTTGCATTTATTGGAAGAAAACAGAGAGAGTGAGAGAGGGGGGGGGGGCAAAAAGCAATGAAGATAGAAAGCAAGCACTTTGTAGTAGTCTTTTCGATCGATATACAGTGCACTGGCCACATGTATATTTAACAGTTCAGTTCATGCATAATCGGCTAGTCATTTTGCCTCCAAACATACACAAACACACACATTT